GGCTCTTGATGATGATCTTTCTGTCATCATGACTTGAAATAAAATTTTCTGAGGTGAAATATGTAATATTAGCTGAAGATTGATTCTGATATGTCTTGTGGGGCTGGCCTAAAAGGGTTCTCTTTGCACAGAAAAGAGCCTTGAGGACAAAAAACACTGTTTGCAGTCCCCTGTGATACAACAATGCAAATGAATGCACATTTCGTGCCTATAGGTGCATCCACACAGGCTCCCTGGAATAGGGTCATGTGGCCTGGCCTGTAGGTTCGGGTGGGAAAAGGTGGGAGAAACCTGCTGCGAGGAAGTTGAAGACTTCCATTGTCTGCTCCTTGGCAGTCTCCTCCTTCTTTCCTTGTTACTTTGCCAGAGCAAGGCCTTCTCTTCCTCCAGGCCATCAGGAAGCAAGTGTTGGACTTTTCCAAGTACTCCTACACTACATGGTCTTCCCCAACTGGTCCTACACTGATTGGGATGGAAGTGAAGCTGTTACTTTATTGAGAAGCCAGGGAAGCCACAAGAAATTGTGTCAGGTGGGAATACAAGAGCTAGGGACTTTACCAAATTAACACATTTTCTCTGAGAAGGGCAACACCTCAAGGTATACATTTTTGGAGAGGATTTCAGGGAAATGCCCTCTCACTCTCAGCTCCCTCTATCTCCTTGATCCCTCTCATCCTTCTACATCTCCATTTAAGACTCATTCATTGTAGGAGACCAGCAGGTGGTATGGTAGTTAGGGCACTGGACACTCCCACACGGTCAACCATGATTCGAGTCATGAACCTGGTGGTTTGCTTTCTCACTTTTCCTCTCTCTCGCTCTCTCTGTTTCTCTCTGTGGTCAAATAAAAATAAATGAATGAATAAATAAAATTAAATACATAATTCTTAAAAAAAATTAAAAAGAATCATTCATTGTTTTTCTCAGTCTGGTGACCATACCCCATCCATCAAAACCCCTTTAGGCCTCTCTGAATAAGGAGCTTGGCCACCTTCCCCAGGGCAGGATATGCAAGTTCTCATTCTTCAGGTGGTAACTCATCACTTTCCTGGGTGTAGTTCATCACTGCTCTAAGAGAATCAAGTGTGGGCTTTTGTTCCTAAAATGGAGGGAAACGTGGATGATTTGGGTACACTCCAGTTTCCTTGAAAACACAGCAGTAGGGCAGCTGGCCCTAGATAACTTATGAGCAAGTGTACCTCGCTTCAAGGTTTTTTTCCTCCTAAAGAGTGCTCAGTCTGAACCATGAGGACAAAGTCTTCCCACTGCCACATCCCGTTGGGTACATATTACAAAGGTGTAATGTGTTAGGGAGCAGATCGCTGCTTGCCTGACTTCCATATTCATTAAGAGCTACCCCATTTGAGCAGAATAATCCAGGGGGTCAGGCACAATTTCCCAGGAAGCTTTCTAATTCCAAATTTCTCCTTTATAAAAGACGAAGGGGGGGGGGTCACAGCACTTGACCCAGAAAAAAAGGGAAGCCCAGAGAAAGTCATAGTTGGTAGACTCAGACAACAACTTTCTGAACTAGTTGGGAAGGGTTTGGGAGAGGCTAAATTTCCGTGCAATCTTGTGGGTAAGGCCTGAGTCAGAAAAAAATCCTTCTTGTTACTGTTCTTTCAAAATTGTTTTTCCTCCAGGCAATTATTATCTGCAGAAACATATGTTAAATATGTTATCTTTCAGGAGGAATTGGTAAATCTAATTGTTTGCCATTTGTTCTTTTTTAGTTTTCTCCCAATTTTTATTTGCTGTAATAACATATTGTAATAATGATAAAAGGAATAAAAAATGAAGGAAATTGTTCAGAAATCTGCCTATGAAAGCAAATCATTTTATTTTCCATGTTTCCTCCCAGAAATTATCTATAGCTGGCAATGCAGTTCTAATGCTACTACTCATAATGGAAGATTTGGAAGAAAGACAGATCCTTGATTCCAAAAAGTTGTAAGACATTGGGCATATTACTTAAAATCTTGGGTATTAGTTTCTTCATATTTAAAATGAAAAGATTGGTTCAGTTGGTTTTTTAATGGCTCTTTCCAGATCTCGGATTATTTATTTCTATACTTGCAACAAAATGAGACTTACTTGGAAGCATCATATTCGGGCAACTGCAAATTTTTAAAAGCTGAGAAAATGGTACTGGCAAGTAAAAATGGCAATTAACAATACCACAAACAATAGACAGAGACAGAAACAGAAACTGAAACTCAATAGGGACCTTTTGATAAACACACTTTAAAATCACTGCTCCTTCCACCTTCATTCTACAATTTCCCAAATGTTTGCAAGGCTTAAAGTCTTTCTAACTGCAGCTAGCCTTCTGTCATGAAATGCACTCATCATTAACCACAAGACTATTATATTGATGTCATTAGAAACCAGTGAATGATATTCCTCTTTTTAAGATTTTGTGGTTTTGTACTGCACTGTATCAATGTGCTGGACCAAAGCAGCTGCTACCCCCTTAATGGTCTGTTGTTGAAGGCATACTTTTCTCTAGCCTGTTTTTGCTACTACTTTGAACCAAGATATTCTGGCAATAAGTTTGGAACCTTATTTTAAAAAGATGAAAATAACAGTTGGTACAAATCTTTCAAGTGTTTTTGCAGGCAGCTGAGTACTTCCTCTCCCCAGCAATTTGGAGAAGCTGTACTTACGTAGATGGATCACAGGCCTCTTATAGAGTACAACATCAGTCAGTAAACCAGGTCCTAAAGTTTTAGCACTGTAAGACTTTCTACATTGAAGCAGAAAGCCTGGGAGATACTGAGCCACATTATTTTCTTGTAATTCTGACCATTTGTGGATTAAATTGTATCCAGACAGTTCCTCCTTTGCACAATACTCTGTTAACTGAAATGTGTGTACATCAGAATCATATCTTTTCTTTGCATGGTTTTCTGTTAGGACAGATTAATTCTCAGTGATCACAAAATTCTGCAAAGTGAAGACATAGCTCTAATATGCACATGCTTTGATTTACTTGACACTATGTAAGACAAGGATTGCCTGTATGTGTTACAATATGGACTATCAGGCTCTATTTCAGCCTTGTGAACTTGTAGGATTAGTGTATACAAAGATTTGCAGCATTATTAATCACAGTTCTGTTCAGAGATGTATGGTCTACAAATAACAGAGATATAAGGTCTGCAAATGAGACCAACAGTGTGGTGAGGGGCATCTTAGTTTTTAAAGGACGCTGCTGTCTATCTTGTCATGAGTTTTGAGAGTTTCTAGTGCCTGCGGATAATTTGATGAAACACTCTGAGATTGAATAAATTTGATTATTATAATAAAAAATGTGTATTATACATGGAAAAAAGATTAACTCACCTACTAATGTGGAACACTATGTTAAGAAGCATCATGAGGTCCCATCTGGATTCTTTGGAGAACTATGACACAACTGAGCATTAAGTTATATTACTGAAGAGCAAAATAGGGAGGAACACATGCCACCTACTTAACATTGGTGTATGAATAATATGACTATGTCAGGTGTATAAATAATATGACTATGTCATTACATATCATAGTAATGCTAAATCTGCTTTTATTGTAAATGCTACTTATAAATCACAGGTAGAGAGTTCTAGTATTATTCAGGTTATATTCTTATATCTTCAGATATAGTACGCTTTGCTCATGCTGTAGAAACTGAGGTATCATGTATGCATTGATAGAGGGTCACATTTAAGCTTCAATTGAATTAAGCCCAGGAACTCTCTAGAAATTGTGGCATGACAATGACCATTCATGATACATTCTGTGACTTTTGTCTCACAAAACACTTTGCTAAGACCAATGTGTTCTTTTCTCAGATTCTTCTGCAGATCCTTCTCAGGTCCCTCAGTCCCTTTGGCTGACCTGCGATTTCAGCTGCAGGTGCAAGGGACAGTGTCCTAGCCCATTATCACATTGCTAACAGAGATATTTGATTTTATAAAGAGGATAGAAGTTTATTCACAAACTCATGATTCTGGTGGATGGAAAGTCCAGAGTCCTAGGCCTGCATGGAAGCAAAGAGGAGGTTAGGCACATGCAAAGAGAGAGAGAGAGAGTTCCTGACTCATCTCTCTTAATAACAACCGACTCTTGTGAGAACTAACTCCTCGTGAGAGCTAGAACTCACTGGGCCATCCAAGATGCTAATCTATTCATAAGGTGCTGCCCCCATGATGCAATCACCATGAACCAATTATTGGCCACTAGGCCTTATTCTGGGACACCATGAAGGAATTAAGTTTCATTTAATATCTTTGTAATACAGATAATACAATTAATAGATAGGATCATATAAGACCAAACATCTGAATTTCTGGGGACATATTTAAACCATAGCAGATAGTTTCAGTTGAATTTAGGTTAACTTCATGTTGACAATGCCCCACCTCAAGCATGCACAAAGCACCTGTTCTCTTTCAAAAGTCTGTTCATCTTTCCCTTGGGAAATAATTTCTTCTCTGATACTGTAGAAGCATGTTCCGACAGCTAGCCCCAAATTATGAGTGGCACATAAGTCCCTGAGGGAAATCTCCCAACCAACAGCAGAATGGGGTCAGTGAGCAAATGTACCTGCATTCCTCCCTTCAAATGGGCTGTTCTAGGCAGTTTATGTGATGCATTTCTCTCTTCTTTTTACACTTGAATAATTTATTATCCTAACAAAAGTATAAAGTGTGGAAGATTAATGTACTTGAATCATTTCAGAGTAGAAGTTTCACACTAGCAGTTCGTAGTTTTAGCACCTTTGAAAAGAAATACCCAGTTAAGACAAGTGGCAACTCGGGCTTTAGACTACCAGCAGCGACGCCCTCGTCTGACTGGGGACGCACACTTCTGTAACAGCGCCGCCGTCTTTTTTTCTATACATTTTGACAGTGCCACAAAACACACTTAAAGGAGATGAGAAAGGTGTTCATTGAGTCCAGGCTGGTCCTAAGAAGAGGAACAGATGTGAGACTAGGAGGAAGGGCGCAGGGGGAGGCTCAGACGGACAGTCCCAAGGCACTGACGATGCAGTACATGGTCTTGTTCTCCCACCGCGGGTGCAGCTCCCGTCAGCGGAGCTGTCCCAGAAGCAGGAACTTGCCGTGTGCAGTCCAGCCCCGTTCTTCTGCATAATCACACAGATCACAACGTACTCAAAAGGCTTTCCCAGCTTGGTGAGCTGACTGAGGGTCTGCTCCACCACGTTGGTGGTCCACTGGTTCACCTCGCTGTGCTGGTAAGCATTCCCGCCTATGGCCCTCTCTATGCCCTCTTTTACAATGTTGCTCACTTCATCAACAACGAAAGCGGTCTCCTCCGCAGCCTGATAGTCTTCCATCTTGCCTCCCACCCGTCCGACTCTTATGCATTTCTCTTGAAGAAATATCAGTAGTATTGAACTCCCTACCTTGATAACCTTTATAGTATATTCTTTTGTCATGCTTGCATCCTTACCTATTTCATCCTACCACCTCCACCCCACTCCTGATTCCTGGGATTATCTTTCAAATAAATTATTTATACAAAAACCCTCATCTCAGGCTCTGCTTAGGGAAACTCAAAATCAAACTATACCCATGTTTTTGCATTTGAGTTGCTTGAGTTCCCTACATCTTCTGGTTACCAACCCCTTATCTGAAGTGTAACTTGCAAATATTTTCTCCCATTCTAAGGGTTATCTCTTCACTCTAATTATTGTTTTCTTTGCCGTACAGAAGTTTTTAAGCTTGATGTAATCCCTCTTGTCTACTTTTGGAAATGCTAAGTTTTGTCAGGGGAGGTTGTAAGAAATCTTTGCTTACTCCAACGTCTTCAAGTGTTTTCTCCAAGTAGTTTTATAGATTGAGGCTTTATATTTAGATCTTTGATAATCCAGTTAAAAATAGGCAAATGATTTGGACATACAACTCTCTAAGGAAGACATACAAATGGCCAAAATGCATATGAAAAACCATTCAATATCTTATCATAAGGGAAATGCAGATCAAAACCACAAATGAGATACCACTTAACCTCTGTAAGAATGGCTATGATCAAGGAAATAAAGAGCATGAAGTGCTGGTGAGGCTGTAGTGAAAGAGAACATTTCTACACTGCTGGTAAGAATGCAAATTGATACGGTCACTATGGAACAATATGGGGGGGCTGGTCCTCAAAAACTTACAGATATAACTCCTATATGACCCAGTAATCCCACTACTTGGCATTTACCCAAAAGATAGGAAGACAGTCATATAGACAACTTAATATCCATGTTTATTGGAGCATTATTTATAATTGCTAAGACATGTAATAAATCTAAGTGTCTGAGAACCAATGACTGAATTGAAAAAATATGGCACAATTACACTATGGAATATTACTCAGCCATAAGGAACTAATGGAGCCTGTCATTTGATACAAAGCAGACGAATACAGAAGATGTAATGTGAAGTAGAATGAGCCTGGCTATGAAAGACAAATACTGTATGTCCCACTTAATATGTATTCTAAGGCAGAAATTGAAAGATCTGAAGATAGGATGGTGGAGAGGACAAATGTAAATACCAGAGACTGTGTAGGCATAGGTGGATAGAAAAGGGCGGGTGGGAGGGACTCAGAGAAGAAGACAGAGAGAAGAATGGGAAGTTCTCAAATGAAAATGATGTACGTGGTAATAGCCTTAACTTGATTATCACATACTTCATGCATACTTTGAAAAACTATATTATGTTTTATAGAGAGGTACAACAATTAAATGTGAATAATAAGTCATAAAATAATAAATAAAATATTACTCTTGGGCACAAAATAAAATAAAAATTAAAAGATACCCTTTAAAATTACAGTTGCTGAAAGAAACATTAGTATATGGGGGAGAGGGTCCCAGGCCATATTTCATAGAGATCTATCTACTCTTTATCAATGGAAATAGTATAAGATCCTGCTAAGAAGAAAGAGATTCATAGCTTGGGTTAAAAAGGCATAGTGGCTGCCTGGGACTTCTTTCCATTCCCATGTAAATTTAGAAATGACATAAAAGAGATTTTTATTTTTCAGTAGGTTTAGAAACAAGAGAATGCCTTTTTTGGATGAAAGTTTTAGAGGCCTTTGGACCAGAGTCCCACCACCAGACTTCCAGGTTCTCCTGAAGATTGTGGGACTTCTTGGTCTCCATACTCATGTAAGCTAATTCCCATTATATATATATAGTCCTATTCCAAGAGGAAATACGTGTGTGTGTGTGTGTGTGTGTGTGTGTAACAAAACTACCTTTATTTGTCAGTATAGATGTCATATCTGAGTCCTATATGTGGGCTGCCCAAGCACAATACCAGTGAAGTTGTACCTTACATCGAAAATGTCACAGAAAACAGTATTTTTGTGGTAACCATTGCATCTACAAGGGCTTTTGCACCTCCTTTTCTGTTGGGTGGAATGTTCTTACACATTTTCTGTTTTATTAAAATAGTAGAAACATCTGTGTCTCCTCCCCCGATCAGTGCAACACTTTATGAGTCCCAGATTTACAAACAGTATTAGTTACATGCAGTAAACCTGATTCTTGGTCTTATTAATTGCTTTCCATCAACTTATCCCTTAGGAATTTTGGTTACAAAAGCCTACTGACAATCAACAGTAATGGTTTTATGTTAGTTATTTGATAAGTAGGTCCCTTTGTGAATAGTGTCTTGTTAATTATTTTAAGTATCCCGTCCATGCGGAGGCCTATCGTGCTCTGGTGTTAAGTCACATTCACTTGCTTATAACTTTTCCTCTGCTCTTTTCTCTTCTCTCTACTTCCCAAGGGCTTTTAGGAATCTAAGATTTAGACACTATGGTGCATTAAGTTGTTCTAACCTTCTATGTCAAATTCACTCCTTCTTAGATCAGCTTCTGATCTTATAGACTCATTTATCCCATGCACATTTCTCTGACAGTGTGTAAAAAAAATTAATAAGTATAGGATATATTTTTACAGGTCTCTTAGATTGTTTTCTTCCTGCATCTCACTTGCTGGGGAGGATGATGATTAATGAATCACTAAAATGCTTGTGATCAGAAGTTCATATGGGGAAAAGGTAACCTGGGAAAACTTCTCTTCAAAGGTTGTGGGTAAATGATGTGTGAAATTGTTGACAAATTGCCTTCATTACGTTTTTGAAGTGGACTTTTTTTTTTTTTTCAAAGATTTGACTTCTTTTCAGATATAAAACTAGCAGAGTGTTAAGACAGTCACTGTTGAGTAAGTAAGGATCTGCAATAATGTTTGTCCTTGAAAAACCATTATTCTTGAGAAAAGTGGTAGGACCTTTAAAGTGGGGTTTTCCTTGACAGAGTCTATATGGACAGTCCTAGTCTCTGAACAAAATATGGATTAAAATGTTATTCTATTATTGCCCAAATGCACAAAAGGAATGGAGATGAAAGAAGAAGAACTTTCTGTGAGTTACTGACCTCTCAATGACAAAGTTCTCTCAACCAGGGGTTCCATATTGACTCCTTAAAATTGTAGAATATTTCAGAATACTTGTCTCTTTTCAGTGCAGTGTTAGGTAGTACAGTTGATAAGACAACAGACTTATAGTCTGACTGTTTAACTCTGCTGCTTACTAGATAAATACTCAGGAAATTGCCTCAATTTCTCTGTGCCTTTCTATCCTCATTTGTAATTGAAAATAATAACTTACATTATCTGTCAAAGATATTTTATAGTCTTATCAACTGTACTAGGGAAAAATGTTCACCTGTTGAAATATCCATTTTTGTAAGCCAAATAATAATGTGATTGAATGTATAAAAGAAAATGAAATTTAAAAAAATAACTTATACCTAAAAGGGTTGAACTGAGAGCTAAAATTTTATATGAGACTACATGTAAAGTATCTAGTCCCTGTCGGGCACACCACAGACTGTCAAAAACACAATAATATTGTATCAATATAAATTGGAAAATGAGCAGAAACTTTTGTCTAAAGTTTGTATGTGAAGACCAAACATTATGTAGGTTTCCATAAGCTTTTTTTAGATTTTGTTTTGTTTTCTATAGAGCTTTGTGTTTGCTGGAAAGAGAGAGGGGTAAAGTGAGAAATCACTGCCCAGGGAGATGGCCATGCCACAGTCCTTTCTCCTCCATTCTCCTCTCAGGATTTTGGGCACACAAGTACACATGCCCGTAATCTTCACTTTTCCTACTTTATAGGCATTTATCATTTTTCATTTTGCATCTCAAGACAAGCCTCTAATCTTAAAGTTTTAGACAAAAAAAAAAAGATTTTACATAGTACAGCTCAGTACTCCCATCATGTAACAGTGCCTCACATGCCTCACATGTTTTTGATCCTCCAGGTCCAGGTCTCAAACTGCACAGTTGACCATATGGGCATATGGGATCCAGCAGTCTTAATCACCATGCCACCTGGTTGGTCCAGTTTCTATAAGTTTTTAAGCTTCTATATTGATCTCTAAATTCATTATCGGGGGACTTTATTTATTTCTATTTCTATGTGATATGCCCTTATTTAGAAATTTCCTCATTTGGGATAATTTTAACATAGGATAAGTAATTATAATAACACATTTATGCAAGGAAGCCTACTTCTTTCTTCAAATAATTATTTATTTAATTTTATTTATTATTATTACTTTAAATTTACTATAGTCACCAGAGAGAAAGAGAGAGAGAGAGAGAGAGGGAGAGAAAGCTGCCAGTTCTGGGATTTGAACTGTAGTTGGCCATGTGAGAGTATAGCTCCTTAACCACAATGCCACCTGCTAGCCTGGAAACCTACTTCTTCTTTTCTGGAAACCTCTTTTTTCCCTCTCACACAACTCTGTAGTGTGTAAAAAGCCAAAGAGGGAATCAGTGCCCCATGATAGCTATAGAATAAACGAGTGACTGGATCTTTGTTTGCCAGATAAGACACTAAATCACAGGAGGTAATGTAACTTAGCCGAAGACATACCAAGAGAATGTTCAAAAGCATTTGGTGGTCAAGAAGGTTATAATGCATTTTTGCATAGAAAAATATGTCATGACTTTCCAGACAACCTAATATTTATTTTTAAGAGATATTTTTTGCTATAGGGTGCGTGAACTCACCAGAGAGACACACAGAGAGAGACGGAGAGACAGACATCACCAGGGTGAGGGGGTTGTCCATGCTGCAGTTCCTTCTCCTCCATTCTCCTCTTGGGATCTTGGGCACACATGCACACGTGCCTGGCATGAATTTTAAGCCTCTGGGTACAGGACACGAACTGTACCAGATGACCTAATATTTAAATCTTGATACATACAAACTACTGTAGGTTCCATGGTAAGTAGGTTTATCTGTCAAGGCATATGCTTCCTAATAG